GTTTATCTCTTAAAAAACCCCCAAAAATGCTGTTGATATTTTGATAGGATTGCATTAGTGGGAACTATGTTATGCACTTTAAATATATAATCTCATTTATTTCTTATGACATCTTATGAGATCGGGACTATTATTATTTCTAAAACACATGTAAGGAAGTAGAGGCACTAATCTAGCACCTTTTTTACAAAGGTGTTGGCACCGAGCTGTGTCACGGGCTTTGAATTTATTTTCCTGTAGTAATTCTGAATATTCATCTAGCTATATACACACTTTTTACCTTGTCCCTATGATCATCTGCTGTTGTCTGTGGGGTGCCGTAAGTGGAGCTGTAGATTTGGCCCCAGGACCCACCCAGGACAGGGCTTGGCCAGCTGGCTCATCCCAGGGAGATCCCAGTCAGCCTGGAAACGCCAGCTCTGACAGCTGTGACAAACTGGCTCTCTCTCTCCTGGGATGGTGGATGTCCAGAGAATGCCATGCTAAGGGCATGGATAAGGCTCAGACCCCATGCATGTCGGTGTCCCCAGAGGCTTTCCCAGGGATTCACAGCGGGAGTTCAAGAGCTGGTGCCTGAAATTCATTGCCCAGGTATAAATTTCATGTGAAATTAATCTGAGGGTGTGTTTGGAGCAGTTCGTGTGAACAGACTTCAAAAACCTTTTTATTAAGACAAATTTTGAACATATAAGTAGAGAGATTAGTATGATGAGCCCCCATGTCTGTGAATATTCTTATGTAGATGAAATCAAGTTGAAAAGAACATCAAGGGCAGCTTTGAAGAGGAAAAGAATTTGAGAAGGGACAAAGGAGGGCGTGATGAAAAGGAGGCTCCCTCTCAGACAAAGGCCCTTTATAAGATGGATGACAAGGGTGACAGCTCAGCTCCCCCTGGGAACAGTCCAGATATGTCAACAGGACATAAGAATAAATCCATCATGACAAAATAGTTAATATTCATTAAAACTTTCCTAGGTGTTGAGCAAATAGGAAAATTTTTACAGATTTATGAGGTAGTCATGATTATTATTTCCATTTTGCAAATGAGAAAATTGTAGCTTTGAGAAGTTAAAGGTAACTTTCTCTAAGTCCCATAGCTGATAAATGGCTGAGCCAAGATTTGAACTCAGGACCTTTTGACTCAAAAGCCTCTGCTCCTAACAATATGCCTGTGTTTAAGTCTGTACCACGGACTGTTTGCTCCCAAATCACTGAGGGCACTTGTTAAAAAGTCGGATTTCTCCTTCCCACCCCAGACCCAGTACATCAGAATGCCACGATGTAGGCCTAGTTTACGCACCTGAAGCAAGCTTTTTAAGTCCATCCAAGTCTGAGAACTGTGGCTCCGTGATATATTGTTGCGCTGTATTCTCTGGAGGCCAGAGGTTCTCTGAGCTTTTTCGATTCTACGTTTCTCTGTAAAATGTTTTAACATGTTTTCTCAGTGTGCTCTCATTCTCGCTGGCAGCAAACGAGTTGGTGTAGGATACAAAGTGGGCTGAACCATTAGTGGGGATCGTTAAACCCGGGCCTAGGTGATGAGGAGACGTTGATGCAGAGTCCGGACGAGAGTTTACAGACAGAGAGGACAACATGTGTGAAAACACGGAGGTGGGAAAACGTGTGGTCTGTTCAGGGAACAGGTGGAGGCCTGGGGTTGCGTGGACAGACGTGGGCACGTGGGGGAACGGCCTGGGATGGCGTGGCGATGTGGGCTCAATTCATGGGGGCCTGTGGGTCACGTAAGCCCTTTGGACTAACTGGGAAGCTTTCACTGTATATGAGAGAAAACTCTACCCAAATAATAAAGGGGGTTTACTGGCCTGAGTGACCAAAAAGTCCAGCGGTGAGGGCTCTGCCTTCATTTCTCAGACACGCTCTTCACTTGGCTCTTGCTTGAGAATTCTTGGGCTAGTTTCTCTCAAGGTTGAAGATGGTTTCGGCAGCAACCAGGGTACATGTTTCTTTTTTTCACAAGGAGAGGGAGAGTCTGGCTTCCCTGAGCCATTTAACAGAATTCCAGGGCTGGGTCAACAAATGGCATGGCTGCTACTTAGTGAGGGAGAAGTGCCCCCACCCCCAAATAATCTGGCAACTATTAGGGAAGGAAGGAAGGAGAAGTGGATGCTGGGTAACTAACCAAGACAGTTCATTTTACCGTGGAAGGTTTGTAAAGATCTCCCGCTGCGTGAGGAGGGCAGATTGGAGGAGCCGACAAGGAAGGAGGGAGGCCAGTTGCGAGACTATTGCAGGAGTTCAGCCCAGAGACGATGGTGGCTGTGATGCATGTTGGAGATGGAATTGACGGGACTTAGTGATGGAGGCGGTGGAGGTAGTTTTGGTCTCACTCTGAGGGGTCTCAAATGCCAAGCTTTGGACTTTATCTTTGTAGGCAGTGGTGGAGGTGTTGGAGTGGGTTTCCTTTTGTGTAAGAGAGCAATAATGTGTGGGGTCTTTTTTTTGTATTTCATGTTTTCCTCCTGCTTTAAAAAAATAGTTTTTAAGTTTTACAATTTACCACAGCGTATTCTTTTGATGTTCTAATGTTTTCCAAATGATGAAAACACCAACATCACAATCTATGTTTTTTACTTACCGCTCACCCTGAACCCAAGTCAATTGACTGAGAATATCTTCAAAAATCTGTTTTTGTAGTCTAATTTTACAAGCCCAAAAAGAAACAGCTTCCCTTGAATCTTATAACACTGTGAATTAATACTGTACTAACTTATTTGCATGTTTTCAGTTTGAGTTAACGTGCTTACAATGCCATTCAATCTTGCAAATTGTTATCAGCAGGAATTGAACAGGCTTTTTCTTTTCAAAATATCAATTTATAAGGCATGAGTTCAACTGCAGCTCCTGGTTTAATCCTCCAGCTATCCATTTTCTACAGCTTATTCAAAGTTGAATTAAACTTCAGGGATGTAGGGTGGCTGTTTTTGCAGACTAAGCAAATCTCTGCAATTTGATGCCCTTGCTGGAAGAGGATCAGTGTGTTAATTCTGCATATAAATTCAGCACAGTTTTTACATTAAAGAATTCATTCTTGCTCTGATTGAAAGTTCGACTCTCTTCTTGAAAAGAATTGCTATTCCTCCATTCATTAAAAAGGTTCAGGACTTGACTTTGTCTCATTTTAAATTCCCATATACTATTTTGTTGTGCTTTTTCTTCTTGTGAGTAAATCCCCATCTCTCTGATCCTGTTTTCTCATCCTCTTTTCCCTTGAGGAAGAAAATTCCTGGCTAGATACCTCACAACATTGTTTTGAGGGTCAAGAGAGATGATACATGGAAAAGTTGAGAGGACTGCTCAGGTCTACATAAAATTCTTTCGTGTGTGCTACGGTGACATCGATAGTTGTAGCAGTCAGTCAGGGCCGTTTGCGTTACACCTTCCTCAGTCTTTGTGGGAGGGCCTTCTCCAGCCTCTGGAGGGTGCTAGACCTAGGTGCAGGGCAGGCTGGAAGTGAAGGAACCCCTCCCCCCCCCCCCCAGCACTCCTCAGCCTTGACCAGTCGGTTGGTGGATAAATGTCCCAACTTTTGCCCCAGGTGGTGATGGTGGGTGGGGGCAACTCTAAGAAGTGTTCTATGCATTCTTCCAGAGTCCTCAGGAAGGTTCCCATAGCAGTGACCCTTCATTAACAATGCCGTTTTGTGTTTCTTCCATTTCAGTTTTCACTTTTGCACTTCAGATACTGGTATTTCCTGGGTTTGTTTCTCAAATAAATTACCTGCACTCAAATTTTTAAGGTGTGTTTGGTGGAACTTGAAGGGAAGCAGTTTACCATTCCAAAATATGCCTCTTTGAGATACTAATTATTTTTAAGAAACAAAGGATTTGGGAAGAAATTTTGACTTTTCCGCCTAACTGCCTGAAAGAATTTAGATAGACCTGCTTTAAAAGGGAGCTGTCATCACAGATAACTATAGTTTAATACCAAATAGTGTGTGATAGATGGGAGGAACCTAGCAAGGCCCATTCAATCAGTCCTCACTGTGTCCCATTGTTAAAGATGACCCAGCAAATATTTACCAAACATTTGCTTTTCCATCTCCATGTGAATTACCTTCCTCCCCTCTGAAGTCCCAAACCACTACCCCTCCTTCCTCTTCAGCTCAAGATCGCATATAAGCTTTAGCTGCCTGGTTTGCCCTTGCGCCTTCTATTCTTATGGGGCCCTGTGTGTATACATGTAATTAAATTTGGTTATTTTCTCCTGTTAATCTGTTTTTGGTCATTTTAATTATTTAACCAGCCAAAAGAACTAAGATGGGAAAGGGGAAATTTTCCACTCCCCCACTAACTCAACCTAAGATCATATTCTGATGGTCTTTCGAAAAGTGGATGTCCACCTAGCTCACCACCGATATCCTAGAATTCTCAGGCTTTATCACCCAGCCTTAGTCCCAGAAGGGATTAAGTCTATTTTGCCTCCTGGCTGCTGGGACTTAGTACATTTAATGGTAACTCTTGGCCACGCTTACTATTCCGAGATGGTGTACCTTCTAGCAAATGCTCCTTAGAAGCAAAATGTTCTTTCTCTCCTAAATATTTCAGTGTGTATTTTCTAAAGACAAGGACATTCTCATATATAACCACAGTGTAGTTATTGAAATCTGGAAATTAACACCAATACCATAACACTACAGACCTTATTCAAATTTTGCCAGTTGTCCATCTTTTATAGCAAAACATCTTTTCTTGGTGCAGGATCCAATCCAGCATTATACATTGTGGTATCTCTTTAGTCTGGAACAGTAGTTCAGTCTTTTTCATGGCCTTGATTTTTGAAGAATAAAGGCCAATCATTTTGTAGACTGTCTCTCAACTTGGCTTTCATTGATGTTTCTTCATTATATTCACATCACACATTTTTGGGAGGAATCCTTAAAAGTGGTGTTTCACCTTCCTCATGCATCTTATCAGGATGTACACAATATTTGTGTGATAAATGATAAATACTGTAAAAAGACAGTTTTGAGAGAAGAAGGGTAAACTGAAAACATATTTAATAAGTCATTGTTAATTTTGTGAGGTGTCATAATGGCATATTGGTACGGTTTTTAAAAATGGTGCTTCTGTTAGTGAAATTGCACACATACACACAGACATACATATTTTGCAGGGGAAAATGAAGTTATTTGGCTTCACATCCATTTCTAAGGAGTCTGGCAACTCCAGGCAGAAAGCAGTAATGGTAACATCGTCAGATCCTGACTATTCTGACACAGGGTAATTGTGTCGCATTATCCGGATCTTTGACCGTTTTTATCCGGACCTTTCTTACCACATATCTGGACCTTTCCTCCGCGGCTCTTCTTCTGGTCACTACATTGATAGTTTGTACCCAAAGCACACATCTGTCGAAATCTGTGACTTATTGGATGAAGAAAGCCTGTGGGGAAGAGAGCGAAACTCCTGGGTGACATTTGGTTCATAAATAATTTGAACCCTTCATTTCTTTGTGATTTGCATGTCCTTATGATGGATATTTATGAGTCTAATGAAATGAGATCATTTGTGATGATTACATAATAAAACGTTTGAGCCAAAATATTAAAAAATCCTCATTAGTCTATTTTATTTTTTGGAAAAGAAAAAAACCCACAATTTTTTAGAAAAAGTTTATTTCACCACGCGCCAATCATTTGCTGATCTTCACACATTTAAACTATTCTTTCGTATCTGTCTTATAGGAGAATAAAGAATGAAAAATTGCTTCTGTGGTGGCAGCTTTCTCTAGTTCTTCAAGCACTCATGTAGTAGCAACTGGTTCAAAACACTGCTTTGTTTCAAAGCACGCAGTTTAGATGTGTCTTCACTGATAATGGTGACGTTTCCGTTTTGTTCCTGGGCTGTCAGGTCACTTTCACTGTCAGACAGTGTGCACAGTAGGGTGTCATTTTCATAGGTTGGGAAATAATACCTGAAAACAACCACAGATATACTAAATAACCAAATTATAAATTATCCAGAGAATTTCCAGGCAGCTGAGTGTAAACATTCCTATAATTCTGCTAGGTTTCCTTGCCAGCCATTTCAGCAGCATTTTGCAAAGGCTGTAAGGGAGGCAACTTCTGAATGACTTTCGCTTTGACCTTTACTGGCTGCCATCCATCTTCCTAGCATCCTTGCTAGTTGGCTATCAGCCTTAGCTTGAGATCTACCATAGGAAGAAACGCGCTGTCTTAGAAGGTAGCCCACTCTAGTATCGGCAGCTCTAAGTTAGCGCTAATAATGACACATGGCGCTAAATATGACTTCGCTTTCATTTCTCCTCAGAGGTCCAGCTCTTCTCTAGAGGGTAACAAAGTTCAAATAAAGTTACTTTTTCATACACTAATCCTCTAAATACTGATTAAAACAACTGTTTTCCCTTGCATTTTCTTTTCCCACGTAATCATTACAGGTCCCTTCATTCTAGGTGATCGAAAGATAAAACATCTATAGAGTTTTACGTCTGTTATTCTGGTTCCTTGTCTGGACACTTTGTAGTTAGTTCTAGGGTACTGTAGGCTCCAACCTGTATAAGAATTATAGGACAAGGTACCGGTTAGCACAGGGCTGAGTTTGCCTCTCACAAGCCTGGGGTTTGTGGAAAACCGAAAGCCTTTTGCTTTAAAGGGGAAAATTAGAGCTTGTGGGCTAGAGTTTTGGGGGGACCTGATGTAACATTCCCTGAGAATAGAGGAACCTCCAGGCAGCCAGGACCCCACAGCCTCTCGAGGTCACTTCATCTGAGGTTATCCAGGGTGATGTGAGGACCAGCCTGGAAGGCTGGACAGGCACAGGGTTCCTGGGAGTGACGGTGCCTCACCTGGTACACCTACGTCAGTAAACCAACTGCTTAATGTTTTCAGTGCCAAGACGCAAAATATATACCAAAGACTAGTAATTGCATACTCTTTAACGTCGTAATTTCTAGTTTATCTAAATGAGATACTTAGATAGGTGTGCAAACATATACAGGCATATAGGTATTCATTGTATCACTATAAGAGCAAAAAGTAAGAAGCAGCCCAAATATCTAACAAATTAGGATATAATCATACAATGGAATCTCTGATATTTGGCACCCATTAAAATGATGACGTAGATGTGTATTAGATGTGAAAAGATGCTTACAATATTTTGTTAACAAAATATAATTTAAAAATCTATAATTCAATATCTGTTCAGATATAATCCCCACACCACAAAATCTGAAACAGTTGGTTACATTTGTAAAAGGGGAATTAGTTTAAAAATCAGCCTTCTGAAGGTTTTCGCTTTTCACAATAAACGCGCATTTCTTTCTTATGGTGTGTGTCTGGTTGCGCAGTACTCACTCCGGCTGATCCCACGTCTTTACTTCAGGAAGCAGTGATGTGTGTTTAGCTTCTTCCATGTGAGTCCTTAAGTCTGCTTTGGAGTTGAACTTCACACGACAGCCGTAACATCTACACTGGTGAACTTGCCTCCGAATGAAATTGACCAGTTTCACTTGCTGATAGAAATTTAATCCTGAAAATAAAAATACAGACTCATCTTGAGAACTGGTGAGACCCGCTTTTGCACTGTTATAATTTTTTTAGAAAGCTACTTCTCCTATTAACCGACCGGAAGAGGCAGTGCAATTATAAAGCATAATAATAGGCACCAAATAACAACAGCCAGCAGTTACGAAGGCCTATGTGCCAGCACCGTTCTAATCACTTTCCACGTACGAATATGTTTCATCCTCCAAAACCCTGGTGCAGAGGTAGCAGTCTCGCCTCCACATTCCATGCTAGGGAACTAACTGTCCGAGGTCGCACTGTTAGCGGTAGACACAGGCTGGGACACCACGCTGCTGGGCCCCCAGCCCATGCTGTTGACTCCTGAGCTAATTCTGTCCCCGGGCAGACAGGCCTGTAAGGTGAGTAACGTGCCCGAGTCTAGGGGAGCAGTCGCTGAGCTGAGGTGGGGGCAGTGAGCTTTTTATCGTCTTGGATCCATTAGCAGGTCAGTTTTCACGCCCCGAATCTTTCTATCATAGTGATACCGAGAATGGCGCGTCCGTAGCAGACCACCTAGCTGAGTCCGAGCAGTGTAGCGGGGGCTCTGCTTACACGAGCCCCTCCCTAGCATCCTGTTCACCTGAGGCCCGATGTCACCAGTAAGCGCGGGTGCTGGAGTATGAACTTCAAAATCCATGCTCTTTCCACTAGCCCCCGCCACTTTCCAACAGATATTACCCATTAACTTGTATTTTTTTGAAGCATTCATGTATGTAGGAAAGAGGAAAAAAGACTATATGAAATAAAAAACCACATTTGAACGTCACAGTTTGAAATGGCTGCGAATCGCTGCTTCAGGAGCACGAAGACGGTCTGTGGAGACACAGTTTGCTGGGCGCGGACCCACCCATCAGGGCTGAGGCACACGCGGCGCTGTTCACCTCCGGGGCTGCCGAGAGAAGCGCCGTGCCCGGGAGAGACAGGGCCCAGCCCCACTTACCAAGCTCCGACTTTATTTTGAGGAGATCGAATCCGTGTGCATCCTAAAGAGGGGAATGAATACATCTGTGAGCAAATGAATTATTTAATCTTCCAGGCTGACGTTATAACCGGCTTCTTCCCAGGAGTTTAGACGCTGGAAACTCAGTTCATCACCTGCTTATGAAGTCTGAAATCTAACTACTTCCCCACGTCAGAACAAGCCAAGTAGACTAGACAGGACATTTTAATTACTCCCGGCTCCTCTCCAGTTTTTACAACGTGCTATGCTGCATCCTGCAGTCTGACAAATGTCCAGGCCTCTAGGTAAGATACGACCATCCTGTGTTATAATTGTGGACATAAGCTCTCTGCTCCACAAGCTGATAGTAATTGTACAATTGCTGCTTTTCATTTGATGCTGTCAAATATACTGCTGAAGCCTGCAAGTTTCTTTTCACTCACGCCTTCTCATAAATTATAAAGAATTTCACAGGCAGAGGCCTATTTTATTCTGCTCCACCCCCAGTACTGTCCGTCTGAGTGAATGCTCTAACTTCCAAGCTCAGACAGAATGAAGACCATCTAATTCCCAGGGAGGCGGTCAGCGCAGTGCCACAGGTGGGCCAAACACCTCTCTGACAAGCTTGAGGACGCTGGAAGGGAATCGCTGCACAGGGCAGCGATGCTAAGGCCCCCTTCAATTCAAACACGTGAGGATACTGTGACGGAAATGTAGCACACATGCTAGTGGCAGCCTGTTTCAGGGGGACTCATCTGCTTTCAGGAGGGGGCGCCATGACCTTTCTAACACCTTCCACGTCCTTACTGTACTGAATAGTGTTTCTGAAAGTCAGTGGAGATGGTGGTGAAACAGGTGGCGCCACGGCTGGCAGAGGGGGTGGGGGACGGGCGGGAGAGCATATCAGAATCACGGGGTAATAATTCCCTATTATAATCACCCCCACCCCCAGCTGTGATACCATCGGGAATCAGCATCACCCCTTTGCTACCCTCAGCGACCAGCTGAGGCTCAGAGATGCCGGGAGCGTGCCACCTCTCACAGGTCCTGGTGTGGAGATGGGTGGAGCTCTACTACCTTCAAGCTTCATTATGACATAAAAATGGCATCCAGGAGGGAACGCACACACTGGGAATTCTCCCAAATTTGTTCTCTCCAAATCCTTGTAACTGAAGGAGTGCAAGCCCACGCCCTGTGCCCCCTCCACCTCCGTGCCCCCGGCCTTGATCACCCCCCCTTCTCCCTTCCTGCATGTTCCCCGGCACAGGAAGCACTGGGAAAAGGCCCAGAACTGGGGCGCGTCTGGGCTTGTTAATCACGGCTGCAGATCCCGCAGTCTAAGCCAGCGTGTCCACAAGCATCTCCGGGTGGGTGGTGGCGGTGGTCCGTGGCAGCCCAGTAACGGCTCCCCCAGGTCCGGTGCGTGGCACCAGGCTGCCCTGAGTCCAGGCTCCCCCGCATGGGTCTGGCTTGACTTCCGCCTCGCTTCTGGTACTTTTGAGGATGGGATCGTGACTGAGAGTCTACAGGTATGTCTGATGAGGTGTCAGCACAAAACAAGATGCAAAGGAGTAAGACTGCCTCACCTCCATGTGGTCACATAGTTTCTCCATCGTTTCTGCTCGCTTCTCACAAAACAGGCAGACGGCGGCGACCGGGTGTTCTTCCCAATCAGACCAGTCGCTGTGTTAAGAGGGAAACAGCGAATGTGAGACTCCCTGCGACCTGCGGGCACATGCAGTGACTAGTACAACTTGCCCCGCCCTAGGAAACCCTGCCTGTCTCTCCCAACTCTGACATGTGTGTAAAGGCTGTCACATCATATTATGACTTTTTCATACTGCTCTTGAAATTCGAAGCAGCACCATGAAATTAATACAAATAGCAAACGGATGCTGCTCCGTTTTCTGACACATTTGCCTTTCTTCTGGGCAGCCCTGTCACTACAGAGCTGGTCCGATGCCTTCCGGAGACAACCAGGTTTCGTTTGCACAGGAGACACATCAGAAGGGATGCTCGCTCACTGAGGCAGCCACCAGCGCACGTACCTGCTGTGAGGGGGTGCTGGCAGCACTGCTGCACGACACATGGGGTTTTAAAAATCACGCTGAACTGAGTGTCGCTGCTAATTGCAAAAAATAAAATAAAAAGGAAACCCGTATCTCCTTCATGTGGGAGAAATACTGATCATTTTAAATGGGGCAAGTGTTAAGTCTGGTGTCAGACTGGCAGACAGAGAACTCAAAAAGCACACAGAACCTCCCCAGACCCCCTTTTTAAAACCATTTTCTCCTCTTCTTGCATTTATTTTTTGAGATATTGCCACCGTCTTGTCATTCCTAAACCAGGAAAATCAAAATCCTGGGAGAGAAAGAGACCAAACAGCACTGAATGAAAAGATGAATAACGGAATCCTTTCAGGTTGAAAAGAACACTTCTCAAGCTTATGATTTCAAGCAAAGGAGCTGTTGGGAATGTTTTAAATTTGTCGTCAGTGAGATGAACACACAACAAGATTAAGTTCAATTCAATAATCTTCCCCACTCAGGTGACAAGCAGCATGGTGAATTCAAAGGTCACATCACTTCCAGGTCTGGGAACCAACCCAATCAGCAAAGCCCTCCGGAAATGCACTTTTCTCTGAATGACATGTTACTTGTGTATTCACTTAATAAGTTTCATGGCAAAACACGATTTCTTTGCAATAAAATAACAGTTGCTTTAGTGACGTTTATGTCAAAGTTATTTTGAATTCAAATTTTTGCTGTATTACACGAAAGGATGCATGGGTTAGAGAGATGGTTTTCTTTCTTTTCTTCTCTCTTTCCAAAATGACAATTTTAAAGCAACCTGTTTTGAAACCAGAAGGTTTTTGTAAGATGATGAAAGAACCGTTATCCTACTCTGAAAACACTGCAGTGAATCAGCAGCAATAACAAGCCTTACTCTTCCTGATGGTCCGGCAACTCCCGATCGTCTTCCGACTGAACTTCTTCCCAGGATTTCCCAAGCTCCTTTGCAGGAAGAACAGAGGGTTAGAGATGTGGAGGAGGGGAAGAGACACAGGGCTTACGCAACAAAACCTAACACACACTCGAGTAGCTTTAAAACAATACAGCAGGATATTGTAAACCTGTTATTTTGGGGATGAGGAAGGATATACTCGGTCTGTACCCTAAAATGCTTTCAATTTGTTTTTCTTTTTGGAGAAACAGCAATATCCTGTCAATCAAATTCTTTTCTCTTAAATGTAAATCAGCGTTTCTCAACCCTGGCTGCACATTAAGGTCTCTTGGGGATCTTAAAAAAAAAAAACACCAACATTTTTTGATGGGGAAGGCCCGTTTTAGGGTTATGTCTGGGAAACTCGGTCACAGATCCAGCAAAACTTCGTGGCGTCCTAAGCAATGACTTTTTTGGTCCAACCATTTCTCCTTTCTCCCATAAGCCATTTGTTCTCTCTCCACAGTCTTCCCATTGTTCCTTGCAAAAGCAGGCAGTGCCCTGAAGAGGGATGCTGGGACGTTAATGGACCCTTCTTCAAGCAGCTAAACTATGGCTACAGTGAAGCCCAACGTGATTTGCTACAAATACAGATATCCTTGTTTGACATCTTTCTTTGGAAAAACAACCAAAATTCACTCTCAGTGGTGAACACTGTTTTCTCAAAAAAAGGTATTCATTTAACTAAAAATGAAGAGCTTCAAGTGCCGGTATGATTTAGGGGAAGAAAGAAAATCATTCATCAACTCAATGAGAGGTTTTGAAGCTGTCATTATCTATCAGCTAAATGTTGCATAAACTCAGACACGCAGAGATTTACTGTAACGTCATTAGAGAGGTAACTTGGACTCTAATGTACTCCCCAGAGTCATCACGAAGTGTCTGAGCCTCATCACGGACACCAGGCCTGGCCTCAGGGCTGCCAACAGGATCCTTGTTATTTGAAATTCCTGGTGATGAATTAGATCTTTTCTGCATTACTTGGTGTCTCTGGACTTGGAGGCAAGACATTACTCAAGGAGGGGCCCTCTGTGCTCTTCCCATTCTCAGCGATATGGGCAAATGCTGCTTATCAATACAGGTTTTGAGCCAAATGAGACCAAAAATCTTTCATGGTCAAACTTGCAAACTCAAAGCATTATTTGGCAAATTTCTCAGCATTCAGCACCACACGGAGGGGTTTATCTAGGCAACAGCACTGACCACTCACCACTTGGGAGGAAAACGGAACTCTGTCTATTGACATACTTGGAAACAAGTGATTTTCACGTGACAGTGGCCCAGACTTTCCCAGAATGCTGTGCTTTGATACAGTTAAATATATGATTTATTATAGGAATAAGACCCAAAGAGGAAAAGGAAAAAACAGAGCACATAACTCCCTAATTAAGACACTGTGCCTGCTCATGAATCATGTCAGGAAAGCAAAGACTACAAGAAAAACCAAGTTTGGAAGGCGTGTCAGCAAAGATGTTCAGAACGCCCCCTCAAACCCCGGCCTCAGATGCTTATGATCAAGGAGAGGGTGGAGGAAACCACGGGGAAAAGGACCCCTCCGCCCAGTATCCCTCTGCCCCCAAGCATACACACTTACATGTGCTTATACAAAAAACCATGAGAAACAGAGAAAAGTGTTTTAAGTGTAAATTGTCTCATTAGAGAGAACTGGAACAAAGCTTTGAAAAATAGGTTAAAAGCCTACTTTTGTTAAAATGGCTTTGTATATTTAAAGACTAAAAAATTAAATCAAATAATAAAACCACTGCAAAAGTAGTTCCCTTTAGGGAAGCTCAGGCCTTGAAACACGAGCACCTTAGGATATGTGGCTGACGCCTGGAGATGACGGAAGGAGAGCGGTGCTGCTCTCCCAGGCGGGGGCGGCTGGCCGTGCAGCTGCTGGGACCGTGTCCCCTTAACCATCACCACTCTCCATGGAAGCCTTGTGCTTGTGAGAAAACAGAGCAAGAACTCGAAGGAGGTGATCTAGGGTATGCAAACGGCCTTTCATGCATTTGCAAGTCTGTTATTATTCAAAAACTGATATGAATTATTAAACATTACGGAAATGATCTCACCTATGAAGGAAAAAGTCAACTTGCTGAGCTCAGAGGAGAGCTCAAAGCGGCCTCTTCGCCCCTTTCCATGACTACAAGGTGCATCTTGTGAGAGCATCCTGGATGCTGCCGTCACTGCTGGTCTGGAGACGGTAGGGAGTGGAGGTGAGGACGTCTGTGGGTGCACGACCCAACCCGCTACAGGGGCGGCCAGAACACCCGCACTGGACACACCCTCCAAGGAGCTGAGATGAATGTGCTCGCATGTCTGTCTCCCCACCAACCTATAAGCTCTGAGGAGTGACTCACATCAACCACCTGTCTTGTCTGCAGTATTGTTCTTTCTGTGCCACCAGGACCCGGTGCCTGGAAGGCACACAAATGTTTAGAGACTGTAGGAAGCACTGCACTGGCTTCTGGAGGGCAGCGGCGGTGAGGGGTGGGTGCAGACATGGACCACTAGTCCCACCCTCCTGGCCTGTCCACACCCTGCTTCCCTGTCAGCCTTTCCCAAAGAGGGATAAGCGGTGAATGTGTCCTGTTGTTTTTTTCCCCTTTTGAAAAATAAAGAATGTAATTATTCATTGCTTTATTAAACTCTCAGAAGAATTTATTCTTCATAAATGCTTTTTATTAATGGGGTATAAAAGAAAGCTGAAACGACGCTGAGAAGCCCTTGACTTCGTTGTTCTAACTCCACACTATCAGGATATGAAAGTCTTTTATACACTCATTCTGTGTATTATTATACCTTTTATTTACAACAGTATTCCTAGGACGTTATTAAGGTTGATAACTCTAATTTAGGACATTTATACAGCTTTAGAGACTTGACTAGCTTCTTCAAGTTTTTTCAAAGGTGAGTTTACATCATTTCTAAAGCACTGAAGTGTCAAAACATGTTTTAGGTTTTAGAAGAACCATTCTTACTGTTGTTCTTTCCCTCAGCAGAAGGTGAAGGCCGCGCGCGGGTCAGAGCCCTGGAAGAGCTCATGAAAGGTGGCTTCACTTTGACCTTGGCTCACAAAAGAGAACAGGCAAGGGAGGGTGAAGAGATCATTACGAATTCATCACCATTACGTGACCAAAAACCTAACCCAAAGAGTGCGGGGCAGGCATAGCACTACTCAATTGGAAAAAGCTGAGGAAAAATGGGAGAAGAGTGATGCACAGAGGTTAAGTCGCTTGCTCCAGCGATGTGACCTTGGGAAATTCCTCAATCTCTCTGTGCCCTAGTCTTCTAATCTATAAAGTGGGGCTAATGATAAAAACAGTGTCATAAGGTTAAATGACAACATAGATACTCGACAGTGACTGGCATGTGGCAATTACTCAGATGCTGCTAGTTAAACACATTGCTTCTATCAGGGTTATCCTAAGGTGGTTTAGTTTTCATTTCATAGAGTTACTAAAGCCTCCACAATTCTCGAAGCACTTCTCTCCAGCCGTGACTCATGCCCACTAAGCCAGCTCACTAGCCCACAGACAGCTGGCCCTGGCAGACCATTTCAGTCCTGAAGTAGAAGCATCATACTTTTCTAAGTGCCAGCAGCATGGGAGCGAGCCGTCCCTTTGAAGTCTCCTTGGAAAGATAGACAGCTCAAGCTACACCATGTCATGCTGGTCCCAAGCTCCTGAATATCACGTTAAAAGGTTCCCTGGAGGAAGTACTATTAACCTGCCATAGCTTTCTGCGATAGCTAAAGACAGCGCTAACACTGAAGTCCACACCCCATGGGACTGGCCTGGGCCCTGAAGCAGCGTTTGCTCTGGGAATTAATGATCGAGTGATTTAAAGAGAAGACTGAAGGAATCAGAGGGACCTTTGCTTCTAGCTGGATGTAAAACATTTGCCGCAAACCACGGCTACCTCTCAGTCAATCTTCAAACACATGCTAAACTTGCTTCAAGGGAAGTTTTATTTTAACACTATAAGGATTAGTTAGAAGAGACAAAAATTCCACCCTAGAGCAGAGATTTCCAACGTAATTCGGGTATGTGCTAATTTCTGTCCAATAGATAAAATGGCTGATTATAATCAACTATGCCTCCTGTGGCCAATGGGTTTGAATTCCAATTGTTTTATAGCGAGAGGAACAAACCCATCTCCATTTGCTACAGAAAGTGTCCGACATGGAACTCCCCATCTTTCTTCCAGTTACACTGGAGAGTTACTTAACCTCCCTCTTTACACGGGTGGTTTCCCTCCTTTGTTATGTACACCTAAAAAAAAACAGCAGATGGGGGCGGGGCCAGTAGCCATTGCGTCGATCATAAGCCCCCTCTTAAATTTCCAAATGCCCCGCATGCCCCAGCAACATTTGCCTCCAACAGAATATCTTTTCTTAACCACAAGGAACTATAATCTACCGAGGCCAGTAAGTGGAATTGAGGTTTCTGAGCGAGGGGACCTCTCAATGTACTCAAAATCCTTAACAGGTGATGCCCTAGTCTGTTCTACAAGCCAAACACATAACAGCCCTCTTGCCTAGTGACGTGACTTGGTTTCTCTAAAATCTCCATTTAAAATAAGCTGGCCCAAGAGAATGATAAAGATTATTTATTGATTGATTTATTTTTGTGGAGAAAGGGAGGATTTTTTAATGGAGAGAGAGATGGAGAGTGAAGAGATTTTTTTTTTTAATAGAATTATCTAGCATAGCACCTAGCACAGCCAGAGGTCAACAGATATTTTTTGAATAGAATACTCACACACGAGTCTCTGACCTCACGGTAACAGATGATACAATAAATGGGGGAAAGTGTATGCATATCCAAGTGCTTCATATTTGTTTATTTTTTGGGTCAAGATCACTGTGAGTTCTAGAGACATGACATTTTTACTATATAAACAACTCGCAAATCAAGTTATGCTTTGTAAACAAACCGTTTTAAAGCTAATCACTGCTTGAAGTGTCCCTCAATTACATTTTGACCTTGTGTTAATTGTTTGTTTAAATATTAGATGGCCCTTAGAGAGATTTTTGTTTGTGGAAATGCGATCAAATTTTAACCTATGAAGAGAAAGACTTACCAAATAATTGATGACATAAAACTGGTCATACTCTCTGTTCTTAGGGTTGATCCTTCGATGCTGCTTTTTCCTCATATGATCTTTAAGTGTATTTTTGTCCCTGAAGGTCTTCTCACAGTACAGGCACTGCAAGCTAAGAGAAACAGACAGACACTGACAGACGAAGCAAGTCTCTTGGGTAACTGCAGCAGTTGGGCTTTATGATTATCAAGACATATTCACCCATTTTAGGTCACACAGAATCTTCAAATGGGACATGACATCCTTGTCAGAACCCCTCTTGCTTTATTTACTTGGCTTTGCAGGGATGCACGCTGTGGGTGATTTTCAGGTTGGCTGAGCTGGCTATTTAGTTAAAACTGTGACAAAGACAGCTAATATCCAGAAATTATTTTGGTGGTTTACTATTTGAATCACCTATTCTAAAAATGAAAATGTAGGCATGTTCTTCAAATCATTAGAAGGACAACTAACACTGGCTGCCGCCCCCGAGTGTAATGACTAGCCCGTGGTTTGGTGCGTCCTGCGGGCTGATGTGCAGGCGTGGTTTCGGCTCCAGCTCCTACCAGGTACTTCCTCTCTGTAGCCATTCAAGTTCTGACCTCTACACTGAAGAAATAACTACCTTATAGAGAATTTGTATGATAACTTATACATATTTATACATATATAATATATATGTGAATAATTTACACATATATATGAACAAAAATACATGTCTATATGCATAATTTATATATATATACCTAGTGCATATATGTTATATATATGTTTTACATATATATATATCTAGTATACAGTAAGTGCTCAATAAATGGTAGTTATTATCCTTTAATTCTCATGTACCTTCTGCTCGAATATTTATTTCCACTGACTTGGAATTCATTACCTAATGAGGCAGTGATCACTCGTTTTGAACAGATTACTAACAAAATCTCTTTCTCATACTGAGATTGACAGTTGATACCCTGTAACTTCCTGGAGGCACACAGAATAAATCTAATCTCCCTTCTACAGGAAAACTCTCAAATGATTGAAATCAGATTGAAAATGAATTATATTTTCATTTCTACTGAACACCTTTCAACTATTTCTCATGCCTTAGAAATAACTATTTTTTTTATAGTAAACAATTTATGAGCGATAAGCTGATTAGGGGTATTCTGGTATATTATTTTATAAATGAAGTGTCATTCAATAAAAGAGTGAAGGGATTTGTTTTAATGTAGTGTTGACAACAGATTTTGAATTCATAACTTTTCATAATTGGTCTGTATCACTTGATACTTCTTTTCTAATGTTACTGCTCCACACTCTTTAGTAATATATTTAAATAAACTAGGTTTTCAGAGAAAAAACTTAGACCCTTTCCTAGAAAGGAAAGTGGAACTATGTTTGAAAGCCATTTTGTAACCTAGAGAATTTCCTTCCTCATGTCTACTAGCTAAGCTCTCGATGCCAAGGTTGCCAGAACCTGACCTTGGGAAAACTGGGGTGTTATGATACATGAATGTAGATAAACACTGAAAGGCAGAACAATGTGTCCAGCATCATATGTCTCATAGAAAGCCGAATAACAGCACAATCTGACAATATATTTACTAAATATGTAGATAAGTTATAGTGAAAAGTAAAGGAAGTGTAAATGGAAAATGAAGCACAGTGGTTTCTGGGGAAATACTAATGAGGAAGGGCTCGCAGGGAGATTCAGGGGCATTACCGGTGTTCTGTTTCTTAGGCGGATGGTGAGAATACTCTTCATACCTTACACAACATACCTGATGTGGTCTGTCCATTGTTTGGGATAGCTGACATTTGTATTTAAATCACTAAAAGGCAATATGAACTATACAAAATGAGGGCTGTCCTCCAATGTGAGAAGTGAGAAAAGTCCATTTCTTTAATTACTTCTGACTATTAATTTATAAAAATTAACAACCAAGTCCAAGATTAGTAGCTTCAGGTTGTGTTTCACATAAAAGTACTCACTCGTCAAGCTTTTTCTGTAACGTACGTAGATATTCACTGCAGTTTACAATATTGTCCGGCAGCCCAATGTTGAAAGCATGTTCTCTGGCCATGTGGTTCAAAAGAACAGATCTAGGAAGAAATTTCAGCAATTTGTATTATTTATAAATCATCTAGGAATAAATCAGGTCAGCAACAGCATGTGTATAATGATAAACAATATTAATCAGAAGTACAAGCAAGTGGTAAACACTGAAACACACATCTGGGCTATGAAGAATGATGTTATAAAGTATGTAAGTACACATATAATTACATCAAATGGCAGGAGATACATCGGTTCAAGGAATTTAGGGACACTGCTGTCTGATCATGAGTTGAACCCCAAGCTTAACTGAGCAGATAGTTCAGTGGCCACACATGATCAGGAATACACACTTAGAGAATTAGTTCAGGAAATCATCAAATACACAAACAGCAACAACAAAAACCCTGGTTGGGTGGGGGCGGATCTGGTTTCTAGAGTTACCAAATTATACTATTTAAGCTGTTGAGTTTTCAACAAAAAATTACAAGACATGCAAAAACTCTGAGCCAGCCTGACCTTCCACGGGGGAAGAGAGCTGGAGGTGAAGTTCAGTGATTAATCGATCATGCTCACGTGATGAAGCCCCGTTGAAAATTCTGAACACTAAAGCTCAGTGAAGATCGCTGGTTGGTGAATGAATGCATTGGGGTCCTAATTTTTGGGGGGAGGGCACAGAGGCTCTGTATTCAGGACCCTCTCAGACCTAACCTAAGTGTCTCTTCATATTTGACTGTCCCTGATCTGTGTTCTTTGTATAAAACTGGAGTTTTGTGAGTCATTCCAGTGAACTGCTGAGCTTATGCAGATTACTGGTGGGAACCCCTGAACTTGTGGCTGGTGTCTACGGGGGCAGTCTTGTTGGGGACGATGCTCTTAAACCTGCAGGGTCTGAGGCTAACTCTGGGGGATCAGTGGTAGAACTGAGTTACAGTACACCAGTTGGTTTGGGGTTAATGACAAATTTACCAACCCCCAGTTTTTGTCCTTAGAGCTTCATCATCTTTAATTTTCAAAAGTGACACACCAAAAACTGCTAAAAGTTAACAAGTTAATATGGCACAATGTGTCCGTTGCACATGGTCTGGACTGTCAGCCAATTAAAAAAGTCTTACAACATTAAACACAAATCTATTTTTGGCGTTTAAAAAATGTATTCCCCTACTCTGCTTAGAGCAACTACAGTCTGTCTTTGATGTTAGGCATATTAAAATAAATTACTGCTGATAATACAAAAAGGTCCTGAGCTAACCCACAGAACTTAATTTATATAACCATTAGAGATGTTTTGATGAGTTTTCAGATGAAAAACAATAACACTTAAAGGCATGTACAATGGCAAACCTGTTTCCCAGGAATTCCTCGTTGCAAAACATACAAATGCCATGAAAACTGTTATCGTTTCGTTCTTGCTGCTGTTGTTCCAGAATTTCTTTCTGTAAAGTAGCAACAGATATATTATCTTTAATAAATGCATAGTTAGCCAATAAAAAAATGTCATAGTCTGGATGGGAGGAAATTGGGGTTGAAGCACAAAGGGAGTATGGGACCGCGGACGATATTTAAGATTTCTCCATTCCCACCCTCGCATTGTCACTCCAGGTCCACACTGCTAAATGCCTGCAGACGCTCCATTTGGGCGGCGCTGTAGGAAACTCGGTCAACAGGTCTCACCACACTTCCCAGACCTGTCCCTCCTCCTGGCTTTATTAGTCGTCTCCCATCCGCGCCCTTTTTCAAAAACAAAGATGTGGTGGGATCTTTGACCTGTTCCTTTCTGGAATTCTCAGATTAGTTTGTAATCAGGTTCTGGTCAATTTTTTGCTCGAGCTATCTGTCCTATTACTTCTCTCCACCAGTCCCAATGTCATCAGCCTGCGTCTGCTTTTTCATCATTGTGGGATTACCATCAGTAAGTCTCCAGGGGTCTCACTGATTCCACTCCTCTTTCCATCAAATCCTTCCTCTCTTTTCTGCTAGAAAAACCTTTCTCAAACACTGTTTATCTGCATAAATACCTTGCTTTCTCTAGCTCAAATAATGTTAAATATGCTTTGGTAAGACCCTGCTCTAATTAGTGTGGCTCTACACATTATCTTTCCTTGAGGTCATTTTACTTCTCTTTTCTTTTTCACTCTTGCCTGTTCTTTAAGATCCAGCTTAATTCCCATTTTTATCATGCAGCCATTTCTACGCAATGGTACAATTAAGAGCTGAGGCTCTGAAACTGAACAGACCTAGGTTTGAAATCTGGCTCTCACTTGTACTCAATTTAACATCTTTAATCCTCAGTCTTCTCATTTTTAAGATGAAAATAAAAATATTATCTCACAGCACTGTTTACAGGTAATTTATGTAAAGAGTTCAAATTGTGCGTGGGTTATTAAATGGTGGACAATATTGTTATCCACCCAATGCCAAGCTCCTCTGCTTATTAGCCATCCATCTTTTTGGTAGCTGTTGCCTGCTTTGTCTTCTGAAAGGATATGAAAACTCTTTGAATGTGAAAGAAAGCCTTTATGCTGTTCTGATATGACACCCGCTCTACCCTCTCGCTTCTCGTACGACATGGAGCTCAAAACAGGAACCTCATGAAGTTTATTGCCAATTCTATAAGTAAATATTTACAGAACAGCATAGAAATGAGCTGGTATCTAGAAGCTTAATAAATTCCATCTGGCCTTTCTGGAAATGCATCAGCAAACATCTACAAATATTAACCCACTGAAGAAGAAGAAAAAAAAAGAAGCCACCCGACAAAAATCGATTCAATGAACTGGTTTCAGCCATAATAGAATAATGGATATTCCACTTCCTCATAAACTAGAGAACAAACTGCTTCATATAGTTTATGTTTTCAGACACCGATCAGACAGCATGGGCCTGTGGCCCTTGTCAGTTTTCTGCGGGGTGGTATCTTCCAAATTGCAACATAGGTAGATTAAACCCCAAAAAACTATAGCTACCACACTGGGTCCAGAAGAAAACGACTGGCGTTGAGGACACTCAAGCGAGTGGCATTTGTGGAACAAGGTGCTACAGAAGAGAGAGCTGCCGAGAAGCAGCTCAGGAAACCTGCACTGGGGGTATTTGAATCTTTGTGCAAATCCTGAGCTGAACATGTACAGAGGAGTTCCGTGGGGAGCTTCCAGAAGTCTCAGAAGTTATGGAACGTGCTGGAGTTCCAGCACGCAGAACGGAAGGCCCTGGCTCGGCACTTGAGGAGTACAGGAAATACCGAAGAACACGTTTCAGATCATGAAGGTTAGGGCTTTATGCTGGTGGCCAGTGGGCAGACGAAAGCAGATGAAATAAAGGGGGCGGTCGGTGTGCCAGGCAGTTTTCATTACTGCTCTTTGAGTGCGCTTTACATTACAAGTGAGATTGACAGTGGAAGTCAAATAAGGGAGGTGCCGGAAAAGAAAGCTGAACTTGCACAAACACACATGGCTTGACTAAAAAAAGAACAAAACACGTTTCAGGGCCCTATATCAACAACTTGGTTAGCAGCGAAAACAAAAACCCAGCGGATAGATAAACTATATGAAGCAGTCTGTCTTCGGGTTTACAGGGCAAGTGTGAGATCCATTATTCCATTAGGGCTGAAGCCGGAAGTTCACTGAATTGATTTTTCTCATCGTGATTTCTTAATTTTTTTCTTCAGTGGATTAACGTTTCTAGTCGTTTGGTGGTACGTTTCCAGAAAGGCCATATGGCATTTATCAAGCTCCTTGATAACGATCGCTGGTGCCGCCCTGCAGGAAGGCTGAGCACCACTCCTGCGCCTGCTCCTGTTTCCAGCCCACAAGAACCGTCCGTGCTCATTAGAAATCATCATCCTGGCTCACATTCCTCACGCTTGTGAGAACCCCAATTCGGTTAGAGAAAAATCTTACTCAATATTTTCTTGGTTTTGACTCAACACAAACATACAAGATTTGTGAGTCGAACGCTGAGTGAGGCTAAGCCATGTCTTTAGCCAAACTTCAGTTTTATCAGTCGACCCTGAATGGCACGACCTGAGCGCAGACACTTGGAGTTGTGCGGAAACTGGCTCTTCTTGGGGGGGCCTGACTTACACTTTGGTCAATTAGAGGCGGTGTGGGGCAGCCGGGGCAAGGGGGCCAGAGGCTGCTTGAGGGCCAGTAAGTAAAACCCCGCTGCTCTGTTCTCTGGTCTGGAGCCCCTCTCGCAGGGTGACGACACGGCACGGTGGTTCCCAGCGACTTTATCTGCACTTTCCAACCACAGTGAGAGCCGACGTCCGTGGGGCACCCGCTGCGTCCCCGGCCTGGCAGGCTGCACACAACTCCTTCGTCCTTTAGTTTTCACCCGACGTGGCTCTGTCGAGATCTGCCTTTTGTCCATCATCGCATGCGCCCTTTTCAGACTCTCTCCCAGACCTTCCTTCAAGGCAGCTGCATACACCGTTTGCTGCTCCCACCTCTGATTGCTGTTCATGTCAGCGGCATACTTTTGTCACGATGATATCACTGATGCAAGGACGAGCTGATGGGGGAAGAGTGGACCGTGACCCGGTCGTCCAGCGTCCCTGGACTCTGCTCCGACTGCTGAGCTCCAGCCTCTATTCTCGCCACACCCGACTCCTGCGGTTGCACTGATGTGCCTGCTCGGCCCGCTCCTTCTTTCGCTCTTTTCCTGCTGTCTCCCCATTAACGTGTTCTGCTTCTTCTAACCACAATTGCCCGCTCCAGCCGGACTCCTTTCTGCACAATACTGCTCAGTGCTGGCTTGTTAGAGTCTGACAATGAACAGGGGCCTCACGGAGCTATTTCCTAACTCCCTAGAAAGAGACCTTGGGATGACTTGTTTAAAGCTACAAAGCTGCTCGGTGCCCGAGACGGTGTGATTGTCAGGATAGCACCTTTGCTTTTTTCCTCAACAGGTGCCCACCGGAGCATATGCAGATACATGGCTTCTAACTGTGACCTTCCTATTTAGTGAGCAAACAAGTTCAGAATCCAGGGGGAACAGGGATCTGGAGAGGTAGGGCAACATAAAAATCTCTTTTACAAAACGGCCACACAAAAGTTACATTTCCATGCGTCTGGTATGGATTAGCTTCTCGGCGTTTGTGGCATCAGGACACATCAAAATAACAGGACGGGTAATATATAGAAATACAATTATGCCTTCTTCCTGACTGAATTAGAAAAAGAGGACAAGCAAATTTTCTAGACTGTAGACATTTTAATTTGGTGTTCAAAGGGTTAATAGCTTTGCACAAGATGGTTTCCAAGACGCTTCATATGTTTCCTCTAGTTTCCAAACTCAAGACATAATTCCCCTGCTGTGTATGAGGCACAGTACCCGCTGTGCTGGACTGTAACAGATACCTTCCTTTGAGGATCACTTGTCCCTAACAAATGACTCTAACTCGCGTTTGATTTTCTTCCCTCTCTTATGGCATCTGTCTCTACTTTTCCTCACCAAAGCTTGTCACCCCTGCTGGTGAGCCTCCGTCTGTGCCCTCCGACTGGCTCCCCGACCCACCCCTCCTTTCCATTCGCTATTTGCTATGCGCTGTTTAGACTTTTGGTTCTCTCCTTAGCCTAGAACAAAACTATAGGGATTCTCAAAATCCACTAATAAAGCCCAGATAATCAAATTCTATAGATAACCTGAAGTCAGAAGATTGGTACCTGAGACAGAGTAGTCCCCACTCTCGTCTGGCAGTTAATTTCATCTGGTAGGAATGCTTTGTTTCTCACTTCTGTGTCCTCTGCTATCTGGATCTACTGAAGTTACCAGATGGACAGATTTATAGGAAAGACTTTCTCTGTACATACATTTAAAAAGTATGTTTATCTGATGCATGTCCAGAGGGATGGAAGTCAAAATTTGATTGCAAATGGGCCTTAAAAACTGAGTCTGTAAGTATATAATGACCATATCTGTAAGTGACTAGGACTAGAACGAGGGCTTCGTGAAGACTGGAGCAACACGAGATAGTTCCCTGTTTTCTGAATAAAATCCAGTCTTTAGAATGGCACCCACAACGTGTCGCCGATTCTACCCCGGGTCTCTACAAGCCTTCTCTTGCACTGCTTCCGCATGTAAGCCCTGTTACAGGGAGAAACCAGAACACCAGTACAATAGTTTGTGCGTTAGTATTGGCGATAGCAGCCCTCACTTCCTATCAGGAGTCCTCAAGCTACTCGACCGCCTGGAGCAGCTGCTCTTTTTCCTCATCAGCTTTGTCTATTGGAGTTTGCCACCCTCTTCCTTCAGAGCTCAGTGCAAACGCTCCGTCTCGGGGCTGAGTGGGAACTCCCTGGGACTCAGGGGGTCTGTATTCTTGTCCTGTTTTTGTGACTGAGGGATTCTTCATGTGGCTTTGGGCATGCCCTTCTCGAGGCCGTAGCTTCTGGTTGTCTCTAAGCGGCTTTAGAAACATTCTGCAAGTCATGACGGT